ATGAAGAACCTAATTTTCTTAAATTATCACATGTAACAACAAGAGCTCCAAAATTATCGGGTATTTTACGATAGGTTCTTTGTAAACAAATGAATGAATCAAGTTTTTCAGATGTAAATAGTATTTTATGTCCCAGCCTAACCTCGGTTCGATCGCGCATTTTATCCCTTGGGACATAAAGTAGCATACGCACCACGGTCGAAAAGTATTTTTTCCCAGGGGTGCATAATATACTATTTCACGCCTTGGACGGTAAAAGTGAATCTGACGAATGCAGCTTTATAGTTCGAGCCGAAGGCGAGCATTATAACGCGCATGAGTCAGAATCACTTTTTCCGCCGTGGCTATGATGCCATTTTATGTCATTGTGACCGAAAACACGTTTTTATCAGAACGAAGCGAGGTTAGAAATGCGTCTTACCGGCCGCGATGACATAATAGTATTTTTCATGCCTAGGACGGAAAAGGGGAATCTGACGAATGCAGCTTTACAGTTCGAACCGAAGGCGAGCATTATAACGCGCATGAGTCAGAATCACTTTTTCCGCCGTGGCTATGATGCCATTTTATGTCATTGTGACCGAAAACGCGTTTTTTTCAGAACGAAGCGAGGTTAGAAATGCGTCTTACCGGCCGCGATGACATAATAGTATTTTTCACGCCTAGGACGGAAAAGGGGAATCTGACGAATGCAGCTTTATAGTTCGAACCGAAGGCGAACATTATAACGCGCATGAGTCAGAATCACTTTTTCCGCCGTGGCTATGATGCTATTTTATGTCATTGTGACCGAAAACGCGTTTTTATCAGAACGAAGAGAGGTTAGAAATGCGTCTTACCGGCCGCGGTGGCATAAAAAAAATTTCCGTGCTGCTTATCACGATTTCTCGTCTGGGAATTGGTACTATACTTCCCAAACTCGAAAACTTGAAAATCAATTGTGGTTGGTCGCCGTACCTTCGGCTCGACTCGCCAAACTCCACACGAGTAAAAAATTCCATCCCAATATTCCAGAAATATACTATTTTCTGAAAAACTTGACGACTGCGTTTGTTTGCAAGGGACCTTAAGACAAATACCCGATAAATTTGGAGCTGTTGTTGTTACATATGATAATTTAATAAAATTAGGTATTCGGGGTATTATTTTTCTATCCAAATTTCGGCCAATAGAAAAGCACCATGAGCCAAGATTAAAAATCAATACTATTCAATTAACACAATTGTATTCTATCTGTCAAATTCGATGGAGGTTACGTGGGCTAGCGAATTGATTGCTTGTTAAATATATGACCATGAAAAATTACCAGTAAAATTCTCGAAAAATTATTAGTTGAATTTCGCGTGGATTATATAAAAAACAGTCCAATGGTGCAATTCTATTGGCTGACATTCGGACGAGAAAAATAATCAAAATAAGTCATTAAATTAGTGATCATTTTACATTAAAATTGAATAAGAACGTGTAATTGAAGATCCAGATGACTTGTAGTTGAAATTTCAAGAAATTTTCAAGTTACTAAAAAATATAGCAGAAATGCACCGTAAATTCAGAATGCTTCGAATCTCAGGTAGATCGTCATGAGTGACTTTAGCCACGGACTTCTATCGATGATTACACATTCACGATCATATTTATGAGTATTAAGTTAATCTAAGTGTGCCACAAGTGTTATGAATTATGGCGTCTCGTCATGGGCTGGACTTCTCAGCGGTAAACAAGGTGAAACTGGTGGTATTTAAGGACGCCATTGCATTCATTACCGCTGGCCAAAACCTGGAGGATTCAGCCACACTTCTGCGTGAGTTCGGCGCTAAATGAGTTCAGCTGGTTTCCAACTGACTGAGCATATAAGAGTGGAGCATTGGACGAAAACCCAAAAATATCATGAAAACTTCACTCTAGACGCTGATTAACACAACATCGAATCAATGAAGATACACACAGAGAAATATTCAATAAAAATTACGTGTATTTTTCATAATTCTGGAGCGAAATGCGGTTGTCGGAAATTTTACGGAGCTGTCACGTAATTTTTATCTGAAGTCACGAAATTTTTCTGCGGTGTTCCGTAATTTTTATCTGAATTATCGGTGAAAAATTACGATACCGTCACATAAATTTTTCGAATCGACTCCGTAATCGATAAACGACCTGAAAGTCCCGTAATTTTTACTAAATATTTCTCTCCGTGTACGCAAGTCAATTACCAGCAGAATCCGACAAACACGATAAGAGAACATCAATTTTGGTGTCAATATTGGAAAGCTGTTGTAAACGAAGAAAAATATTCAGTTGTACTTGGACATTTCCGGATTATTCCGTTGCATAACAATGAGAGGGGGAAGCGAAACTTGAGGGAAACATTAGATTAATTTTCAAGTTCGAGGGCATTCGGTGAATCATTTTTCTTATTACGATTTTCGTGACATCCTCTATGAGTTTGTGGAAAACGGTTTGATGCAATACTGATTCAATGACTCGATTTGTCGGTAAGTCTACTATCTAGCCTAAATTAACTCGAACTGATAAGATTTAAATAAAAAAAAGTGAAACTCATTGTAATATAATTGTACCATAATACGACTTTATCAAATAGGCCTATATTATACCATCTATATCTATTATATATTTCTCATTACGATATTCCATATAAATATTTTATAACTCGGTAAATAGCCAATTGAAAAACTGAAAAAAAAGTCGAGATATTTATCTTTTTCATTTCTGCTCCTCCATTATTAACCATGACAGTTATTATTATTACTACTATTATTATTATCATTATTATTTAGTAGTCAAGTGATAAATTAAAGGGAAATATTCACTCTGACAATTTCCCTGTTGGCAGAGAAATAATCAGTTGTAATACCCCGAGACCTTCAAAATTATCGGATATTTCCCGATCGCTGCCGCGCAGGGAAACATGAAGGAAATGTCCGATTGGTTTGGAAGGTCTAGGGGTATTCGGTGGATTATTTCTCCTATTACGATTCTGGTCCAATCAGAGAGCAGTACTTGTGCTCTCGTAGTATATCCCTTCTACGATTAACTAGCCTATTTGGACAATCTATCAACATCCGGACGCAAATTTCTAACAGATTTCTGAAAAGAAATTGATAAGCTAAGGGAAATTCTCTTTAATAATTTTCCTGCTGCCAGGGAAATAATTAAATCGACAACAACTTAAAGTGTCACGAGACCACGAATATAGAATGGCGATCATCCAAAATCCTGATAAGGAAAAGAATTAGTTGTAATGTACCTAGACGTACAAAATTATCAGCTATTTGCCGAAACATTCCAAAAATATTCGAAACATTCCAAAAATTTCAAAGGTCTTGAGGTAATATAACAGATTATACCTGAGAATTTAATGAAGTGCAAAATCTTTGAAACAATACTTTCTTCATAATAATATGAATTTGCTATTTCGTCACGTGAGGAGAAATATTCAATAAAAATTACGAAACGTAGGTTCGCTTACCGATTACGGAAGTGACTACGAAAATTTACGTGGCGATACCATAATTTTTTGACAGAAAATTCAGACAAAAATGATGAAACAGTTCCATAAAAATTTCCTTAACGACCTTTCTCCAAGGAATTACGGACAACATATGTAACTTTTATTGAATATTTCTCTCTGTGTGGTGATCTGTTGAAAACATACCCACAATTCACTCCTGATTCTCATTCTCATTCTCTTGTTTTGGTCCAATAGTTCACTGGCTGGTCTGATCGATGATACGCCAACAGCGAACACTGCGCATGTTCCCAACTTTGGTATCAACCTGGCTCCTTAGAACACAGACTACATATTCAATAAGCGATTTTCCCCAATAAAAGCAGAAAGCTCTTGCAAAGTGTCATTTAACTCCAATAAACCAGACATTTCTCACACGAACTTTAATAAACAAAAATAAATCAGCAATGACATAGACTGCATTCACATTACTTAATACTGCTAATAAATAAATATATATATACTAACTTTCTACCTACTATATAACTTTCTACACTACTCCTTATCTATAATAATTTAAGCATTTCGCAATAATTATGTACCCATAAATCGCATATGGGTTTTAATCCTTTTTAGTTACTCTGACAGAAAAAAAAAATCAAATTTCCATTGCCTGAATTGGCAAACAAACAGTTGTAAAAAACCCCCAGATAAATATAATTGTAATTTCATGGTGCATCTTAACAGTGAAAAAGAGTTGTGCAAGTGAATGGTTAGTTGACAAAAGAATGAGAAGACAGTTTGTCAATTACAAAACACGGATATAATTATTGTAGAAAAAGTAATAAAACAGCGTAAGAACCGTCCGATGGTACACCCAACGAGAAAATAATTTCAGGTTTGGCAGGAACAAATTGACAGGACAACGCGCATTTACCGTTGACACGAATTACAGCCTTGCTATTCTGCCGTTGACTTCAGCATTGTGGTACAAATTGGTACACGCCCTAGCCCCCGTCGGGCAATACGTCTGTTTTTCATCTCATGTCCGTTATTTACCCTTTCTGTACATCACATTAAGCAACTCTTTCAATTTTTTTATCCTCATTCCTGTTATTTAAAAAGTGTTGGGTCATTTAAACAGAGTGGTTACATCAGGATAGTATCAGTAATACCTTAAAAAGTCTAATAACTAATTATCCTTTGGAGAGGGTTTCCCTGCGTGTGTCCGGGACCATTCTTTAGCCTAGGGGAGTCTTTTTTTTCGTTGATACTGAAACAATTTGGATACTCTGCCACGTGGCGATAGAGCCACGGGTGGCTAGTAATGAGTCTTACAAGTACAAGTAATTGTCTTTTTTTTTTCATTGCACTGCGGAGTTTTGCGGAGTCGAAGCGCCAGACTAGAATAATCAATTGAATGAAAATTTCTTGTCTGAAGAAAATACCTTTCAGATTTGATACAATATATTTTTGTGCTGATATTGTTGATTGAGAGGACAGGCTGTAATCCCTCTGATATTTTGGTTTCCAGGTGTGGTTTCAGAATCGACGAGCGAAATGGCGTAAAACTGAGAAGTGCTGGGGTAGGAGTACCATAATGGCGGAGTACGGTTTATACGGTGCAATGGTACGGCATTCTTTGCCACTTCCAGAAACAATTCTCAAGAGTGCAAAGGAGAATGAGTCAGTCGCACCATGGTTACTCGGTAAGTTTTTTTGTAACTCCTTATAAAATTCATACACTTTTAATTACATTTTTAAAAACTGAGAGCGAGGAAAAAAATTAGAATAAAATGTGGCCAGTTGAATTCATTTTGTTCCTGCTTGTTCGAATGCGACAAGCGGAAGAAGAAGAAAACTCAGTAAATATTGAGGTTCATGTTCATGAGGGGAGGGATAGAGAGAACATAGAATCAATAAGAGAAATAATAAATTTCCAAAAATCACACGGTAAATTTCGGAATTCTTTTCTGTCCGTTCTCTATCAGCGCAATCGTCTAAGACAAGCGGCTTTAGTCAAGATTTCGAAACTAATCAAGAAATGATTGACTGTGGCCCCGTAGGGATGCACCGAAAGTCGATTGAAGCAGCGGAGCATCTCAAATCTGGTGGGGAGGATAGTGGCAATGATCATGCTGGCAGCAGTGGTAGTCCTCATCACAATCATCACCAGGGTGGACCAACCAGTTCAGAGAGTGGACAGGAAAGTCAAGATGGAATGGGCAGCGCATCGACAGGTGAGTTTCAACATATTGATACGTACGTCAATAATCAAGACATACGACAAAAGGCGAGCGACAGGTGTTCTGTATCGAAGAAAACAATTAATACTCAATAGAACATGCAGAAATAGGAAAAACTCGGGCGTTTATAACAATATAAATAATTTCAATCTTCTCAGTTATAGCTTGCCGCAAGCTAAATTCTTTTGTCATGCCACGGTTGGAAAATTACGCTTAAAATTTTAAGTAAGAAAAAAGTTTTTTGACAATTCTTCATTGAGGAATCATTTAATTTCTTGAATATTCTGATGATTCTCAATTGCCAAGTGTTGATCACACTGAAAACCCGTAAAAATGGAGAAAATGCAACCAATAATTTCCCTGAATTTCCAATCCATTGGAGCTTCATTAATAAATCAATTTTTATTAAAGATGAAAAACCCAATTACATTTTTCCTCTAATTTTTGATCAGAAAATTTAGTTTTGCTTCCGAATGGAAGCATTTTTTCTATTTCTACTTCTCAAACATCTCTCGTTCCCTCATTTATATCCAATTTGATTTCTTTTTCTTTCAAAATATTCTTGAAACTCTGAAAAACAAGTGTCCTTTTCACGTTTCATGTCCATCATTAAAAATCGATAGTAATACAAAATTTCAAAAAAATGGTTTTCCATTTTGATTGTCCCTGTATTATAAATTTTTACTTTAAATAGTAAACGTTTATCATTTTACCTGTTATCTTCTTGCTGATACGTGGCAATTTAATAATTTTTTACACATTCTTCATTCTTTTTTTAATTTCCCAAGATCTATATTTCAATTTTCGTTAATTTTTATCGTAAAATTCGTAAAATTCTAGAACATACGGGTAAACCATAGACCTTTTAGATTAAATGAAATAAATAATAGGTTAAACGTGAAGCTCGAGGGTTGGATAATACCTTAAGAATAGTCATTCGACAATCGTGAAGTGATGTCTGGTTAGATCAGCCCGACAAGTCAAAGCCATTTATATCTATGCATGTCTCCCACCATGATGGTTTTGTTCGCATTGTGCACACTGTCAGCGATTGGTAGTGACAGTAATGGGGTTGATATGTGTACAATCAATAGTTTCAATTATGATAAAAATGGCACATTCGAATTGAATAAACACAAATCTCAGTGTTGAATTACGAAAATTTAACTTTAGACATTTTGTTCTATGCATTCTTGATCTTTTTTTGGTTTCCTGGATTGTAAAATTCGTAACCGAAAGTTTTTCACCGATAATTCAGATAAAAATTACGTGACAGTTCCGTACCACTTCCTACAACCGCATTTCGCTCCGGGATTACAGAAAAGACACGTAATCTTTATTGAATATTTTTATTCGTGCGATGCTAAGATTTTTGGTGAGGAGTGGACATCCGTCCAAGTCCAGCTCCTCCCGTATTTTAAAAACCTGAGGCGCCTCAGAGAGGTTTCAGTCCTCAAAATGTTCAGATAAAGATTCTCACGGTTTTTGCTCTGCTACTTCTTTACCATCTTCAATAACAATGATCAGACACAGTTCAACTATCTTCTAATGGAAGGACCCATGCGTCACCATGAAATTGCTTACCTAACTCCATCCGTATGATAAAATCGATGTACGGATTCTCCACATGCCACATTATTATTATTATTATTATTTCAAGTAAATCGCCAAGATGTAAACCTAATAAATAATTATAGGTTTGACAGTCACGCGAAAAATTTTTCTTGTAGCAAAAATTCGAGTTGATCTTTTTTTCTGGGACTCTAGTCGAATCAATAGGTAAATCATTTTTTAAATGAAAATACGACTGTATAGACTCGTAACTAATACTTGCACTACTATTTTCTATCCATTTTAATGTTAATAATTTAGTTTCCTGCCATTGATAGTCATTTAGTGCGCAATCGAAGCAATTTGGCCACCACAAATAATTTCGCTCTGCGCATCAAACTATATGCTGACTCTCCATATTTTATAGTACCAAATGAAATAGTCTGTTTGGAAATACCATAAAATCTGAGCGCGTTGAATAATAAAAATATAATGTTTATGAATAAAATAAGGAAGATAAAATGACACGGTCACCGATTAAAACACAAAACGAAAGAATAACAAGAAAAACTCTGGGACATAAATTTAGTTGAGGGAACAGGAGAAAATACGTCACAATGTATTTTTCGCAGAACTAATATTCCGTAATAATTTTGTAATCATCACTTTTTACCAATTAAAACTGTAAATAATTAATTGTTTGGTTGAAACAGGTGTCGTTCAGGATACGGAACAGTTAAGGAACGAGAGTATCGCATGTCTGAGAGCGAAAGCCCAACAACATCAACTGCAACTGAGTCTGCAGCCAGCATCATCCTCAACAGCTAATGCTAGTACCTCAGCACCCGGAAGCACCTCATATCCGACCGGACCACCGGGCAATACACTTCACGCCTCGGTTTAATTCACAAATACTATCCTATAATCATCTCCCAATAACACCCACTAAGTGCTTGAACCATCGATGTATTGCAACCCGGTTATTTCAATTACCAATGGAGATCCATGCTACTTCATTTCCGTTGAATATCCACTCTAGATGGTGAATTCACATTTCCCGATGGCATTTCTGCAATTAACATCAATACACACTTCTACGGATACACCACTAAAATACCCACACGGAGGGAAATGTTCAATAACAATAACGTAATTCGTAATTCACTTACCCATTATTATGGAAGCGACTCAGAAAATTTTAATCCTGCTATCGTCCACTCTTGGAATATTACACTTGAAATTTCAAATTAAAAAATTGAAATTTTTAACAACGACAAAGTCATGTTAAATATCTCTAGAAGAAGTCATCAATGATTTAATTAATTTCCGGAATATTCTGGTGATTTTCAATTTTTATTTCCGTGAAGACCCGTGAAAATGTTAAAAATTGAGGCAATCATTTTGAGGATTTTTCAATCTATTGACAACTTAATTGCATTTCATGGTAAATCTTTAACATCAATTTAAAAATTCAAGCTTTCATTAAAAAATCAATCATTCTTTAAAATAAAAAACCCTATTTATTTACATTTTTGAGATAAATAAAAATTTAGTGACCGTTTTTTAGGGAAATTTAATTCAAATTCACATAATTGGAAATTCAGATGACGAACTGAAATTTCAATAAATTCCTAATAGTGTAATATTTCACGGACAATTCAGATAAAAATTACAATATGATCTCAATAACATCGACAACACATGTCTAAAATTTCTCGGAAGAAATACGTAATATTTTATTGGACACTAATCTCCGCACATGATGACGAATTACCGTCAATTGATTACGCGGAAATTTTCACCAAACTGTTTTGAATTATTATTATCAACGAATTAAAGGTCTACAAAATGAGGCCTATCATACAGTTCTCATCATTTGGCCTATCACAAGAGAATAATAATAAAAGTGTCTCAATGTTTTGAATGATTTTGCTTTATCGAATACAACTTGCAACGAATTTACTGAATCTAACGAAAAAGAAATCGTGAAATAGTACATCGAAATAATTTCCATTGATTGTTTTGAACTGTTTTCAGTAGCAATTGGCAAGGAGATTCAAAACTAAAATAGATGATTGATAAAGATTTTCAGAAAGAACGAAAACTAGAATGTAAATGAATGACGTGCAAATCTTTTGGACTCAAAGTCCTATACCCCAAGTACTTAACTAAGACGTAACTGTTGTCAAAAGTGCAATATATTGGTATAAGTTTTTTTTAGCGCATAAGGCATCATTGTAATTCCCAAAATGGATGGAATGAGGTAATGAATAACGATCTATGGGTTTGTTAGTCAAAACGAGAATCTACTCCAGAAAACTAAACGAGTGAACAGCAAAATTCTTTTGCTTTTCATTGGTTTCAATTCCTATAAATAAACCCGCCTCACAATTATCCAAACCCACTGTATATAAATATATTATAAATACAAATAAATATAAATAAATGAATGAATATATGAATATATAAATTTATAAATAAATGACAAATATATGTGGTTAAAAAAACGCGTCAGAGCGGACAGGTTCTCGTGGCTTTGTCGAAATAAACGTGAGTGATAAAGACAAAAGTTCACTGGTAGTAATAATTATTAGTGAAATGTGAACTATTGGACCACGGCCTGATTATTCTCAATGGTGGAGTGGCTAAAAAAAATATTAGGCAGTGTGAGCGAGAGAGAGAGAGAGAGAGTGAGAGACTCGTGATTCTCCTGTTTTTATTTTTTTATAAGTTGCTGAGGCAACTATAATAATATTGATGGAATGTGATGGTGAAAACGCCTCGTTGATGTAGAAACTTAAGACATTTCCAAAAATCCCCGTGTAAAAATTGAGGAAGAGAAGAAGAAACTATTGAAGCAAACCATTTTTTTAAATTTTGTATGTTATATTTAAAAAATTATGGGAATTCTCCAGGGACATGAAGAAATTATCGAATCATTCTGAATATTATTAATTCGATATCGCGAGAATTTCAACGTTTTGACGCGAATGGATACTAGACTAGACCACGTAAGTTAATGACGTATTATTTAAACAATCGAATGACTGGGAAAAAGTAAAACTAAAATGGAAATGATATGTTCTCAGAACATTGAAACAATGGAAACAGTTGAAAAAAATGCAAATATTACTCAATTCAAGAGACAGATGTGATTGCGTAAGAGGAAAGATAATGAATAAATATTCGGGGAAGAGCATGCATGAAAATTTTTATGGAATTCCAAGATTGTGTGACAAATGACTAGATGATTTGTAATCATGAGAAGCTCACACCTGTTATATCGGCTCTGCATCCAAAGATGTTTTCATACATGATATTCCTTTCGACGTTACCTTTTCTTGCGAATTAAATGTCTCTGCCGCATGCGTAGTAGTCGGCTAGTGTACTTAACAAATAAAATTTCTGAAAAAAAATATTAACACCCATTTCTTTCACATGATTTTGTATTTTTTTATTTATTTATGCCCCTTCACTGCATTCGTTACATATGATCCTAATAATAAAGAACAATATATTAAGCTGAACATTTTCATGTATTCAAATGGAATATCGATTGAACCATTATTAAATATTTACAAAAGTACAAAAGCTTTTACCTATTGATACCTACACATCAATCTATAGTAGTGTGAGCTCGATTTATACGGTTCTTCAAATCTGAAAAATTACCAAAAAAATTGGCTCATTAGCTACTTTTGTTTTTGCTCAATTGTCATTTTTTGTGGAAGTAAAAAAAGTCAGACTTTGTATATTTCAAGACAACATTCGAGTTATCACTTCATGTAGGCCTTTATTGTGGTAAACAATGAACTTATGAGACTTCATGAAAAGTATCCGAAGCCGTTGAATATTGGTCCAATATAAAACAGTACAAAAAATTTCATTAAAATTGACATAAAATACAATCCTTACATCCATGAAAACTTCTTACCCCGACGCTAAAATGACTAATGAATGACATGGATAATGAAAAAAGGAATAAATATATTCATGATTTTATATACATTATCAATGAATGAATGCAGCCCTGTCACATATTTCATACAGACTCTTGGATTAAACTTTTCTTCTTTCTATACATATATCTAAACTATTATAGTATATCTATATTCTTACATGAGTTTATATTTTATTATCATTTCTAAAAAACAATCTCTTCCGCATTCTCTTACATTTCCATTCCTTTTGTATTGAATTGAAAATTTCAATACGGTAATAATTCAGATGGTAATGAATCTCGATATGTTCATTTTTCCAATCAATCACATTTCAAATATTTGCCACATAAATATCAGACCTGGATAAAAAACTTTCCAGTTTTAATTATGAAAAATCTTGACAACGACTCTAGAATATATGACTTTATTACCTACTTATCATAGATAACCGTATCCGGACGATACGATATAAATCGTATGTTGTTGTAGCCCGAGATTTTCAATCGTTCAAACAAGAATATTTTTCAGGTCTATATCTCACAGTCTATCCTCAATCAGCCACCCCGATCGCAAACAAGTTTTGACATTACGCGATAAATTGGGTTTTCTACCCATCCTCCACACGAACAGAAAAATTCGATTAGAATTACCGGAAAAATAAAGTGGAAATAACATTTCAAACTGTAATGAATAAATCTAGAATTTTCTATGAGATTTTAATTGTGCGGCCAAAATTATGTGACAATTTCGTCCGTTTTTCAGTATGGACTTGAAAAATTACTGAACGTTTCAGATTTATATTCTACCATGCCTATAAAACTGACAGAAAACAATTCCTTTCTTTGAATTACGTAAATCGTTCCGTAATTTTTACTGAATAATTGCCTCCGTCCAGAGGGAAATATATAATTCTACAACATGAAAGATATACCATGTAATTTCGATGCCGGTTACCATCAGCGTAGAAAATTTTAATTCAATTCTATCTTAGGGTAAAACGTTTATTCCTGAAAAATGAAATTCTGGAACACTCTATCATTATGTTAAACATGGCGTAATAATTTACTTTTCTCAAAATAAACCGTTCACCCTAAGAAAAAATTGAATTTGAAATTTTCCTTAGTGATGATCACTCCAACGAAGGTTACCATTAGAGTATAATATTTCAATCTAATTTTTTCTTGCGGCGAAATGTTTATTTCTGAAAAATCAAATTCTTAAACGCCTTATAACGCCCTTACGCAGGGTATAACAATTTTGGTGGAAAAAGTAAACACTTCACCCTAGAAAAAATGGAATTCAAATTTTATACTCTGATGATACCGTTAAAGTTACATGGTCCCTTGAATTAAATATAAAATATACCAGATCCAATTACATTGTTGGAAAGCTATACGTGAATTTTCAATTAAAAAAACTTGAAATTTTTAACGACAAATAAGGTGGAATTTCTGGCCAATTCTGCTTCGATGAATCAGTTAGTTAATTTCTCGAATATTGTGGTAATTCTCTATTTTCAAATCCATATAAAAAATCGTGCACTGAAAAACTGTGAAACAATTGAAAGGTCAAACAATAATTTCCAAAATGCTTATGAAAATTCGCGTTTTCATTGAAAAATCATTTGTTATTTAACACGTAAAACCTAAATCTTTGCAATTTTTAAAATAAATGAAGAAAATTTAATGGCCCTTTTAAATTGAAATTTAATTTGAACTTGTCTAACGTAAAATTCAGATGACTTTTTTGTTTGGCGAAAATTTCGAGAGATTTTTAACTGATGAGGAGACAGGTAAATAATGTACCGATTACCATAGATATCAAGGAGATGGGGCCATCTAGTGGCGTTCTCGTGAGTCTTCACGATGAATACTATGACGACGAGGTTCTTGACCACTCGGGGTAACTGGACGACGTTTGGAACGTTTGAATTTAGCAATATCTTCACCAAATACATCGCCAGTTCGTAGCGCTGAAATGAGATCATCGAATTCTCCTTTATTATCCCCAGAGCCGTTGGCATTGACTTCATTTTTCTTATTCAAAGCGATACTATTCAAAATTCCTTCACGCGAATTTTTCCTCTCCATCGTTCGTTTCTTTAACTGAAAATTCAAAAAATCACTAATGAGTCGAGAGAAAATATATATAATTGAATAAATTTGAGCATTAGCTTTACCTCTTGTTCTTGTTTAACTCTTCGTTCCTCTTCCTCAACTTTTTTCCTCATATTTTCAACATCTGATCTAGCTTCTGCGAGGGCCTGTAAGAAATTTTCGAAAATACCAAAAAATTCATCAGGTTGGATACCCGCAGAATCTTCGCCGAATAATCTAACTGCTCTGTCAAATCGGGTCTTCATATCCTGGAAGAGATCTTCAGCTTCTGCTAATCTGCAAGTGGCTTGTGCTTGGAAATCCCTCATAGCTGGCAAAAACATATCACCCTGCAGTACTTGTACTTGCCCTCTATGGAATTCTGATATAAAAAAAAAACAATGCAATGAAATAATTAGCGAATTGATGTGAAGAAATTGTGATGCGTTGGGGAGAATTTCTCGAGTGAAAGTACACGTTTCAGTTTCTTTATTACCGATTTCACGTTGAACATCTTGCAGGCCATTTTTCAAATTAGCAACTTCCTTTTGAAGATCAGCCATACTGACTCTAGCCGCTGTTCTAACATGCGGCATGTCCTCTTCAATATCCAAAACTTCCCGGAATCGCGTTTCCAACATTTGCACAAGATAATGCAGCAAAGTAGTGCCTTTGGAACATGAAGATTTTGTGTCGACGAGCCGATTCAACGAGGCCAAACGAAAGCCACATGCATTGCCTCGGGCATTTCCCCGATTGACGTAATTTCCGAGTGCAAGAACCAGTTCGAGTAACTTCCTCAGTCTTCGAGATCTCGCAACCTGCCTACTTGCTTCAAGTACCGCTCTCATCCTTGGTGTTAACTCTGCAATGCTTGCCGAGAATTTCTTCTTGTAATGCAGCGATCTGAGACGTTGCTCGTAATGTGGCACCCTGAAATACCATAACACCAAATTATTCATCATCATAGTCAAACATTCCATTTCCACCCTGTAGTAACTTGTGCTCTAGAAAATCCCATTTGTGCCATATTTTCATAACTCATTATACATTCAGAAATACTCGAAGAAATCCATTTCTTGGATTCTATCTCTTCAGACCATCACCCTATACGAGACGAAATAATGCATATTGTTTTCCATTTCTTTTAAATCACCAAAATTAATGGAAATAAGTAGCAGAAAATTTTGGAAAGTATCAAATGAAGTGGAAGTCTTATTCCAATAAAGATAGAAAAATAGGTAGCTTAGTCGTCCGCCACTTGAAATTTATCAATTCCGTACAAAATTTCCTAAGTTTTGAACAAAGTTTGCACATTAAAAAAATAATAATTTTCAACGTAAAAATCTCGCTAGAATCAACAAAATAAATCGGTATAAAGGCATTATGATGCAGTAGTTCATGATTTGAAGAGATAGAGTACTATAAATTGAGTTGTTCCGGTATTTTTGAAAAGACAACTTAAGACCAGAAATTGCTACGTCAAAAAGTAAAAAGAACAAAAAGCTCCGATCACATACTTTGAAATTTGATAAAGGAAGCAGTCAGCCCTGCTTTGAAGATCTTTGTGATTCATATCAAGCAAAGCAGCCTCTTCCGAGGACGGTATGTACTTCAACAGTTGCTCCACCATATCAATATGAAGGATATTTTGCTGGTCCATCGACAGAATGGTCCGTGTAATTTCATTATCCGACATTTTCAATTTTGATAGTAAAATCGTGCAATTTTGCGCCCGCCTAGAGTCAATAACCGCCATGTTTCTCTTATTCTTTCCCAAATTGCGGAGATCTTCGATGGATCCTTCAGTGGGTACCCCATTTTTCTGATAAGCGCAGAATATTTTATCTATCGATTCCAAATCCATAACGTGATATAGTTTTGAATCATCCAATTCGGACCAAATGGTGCCTTGCAACTTCTGCTCTGGAATTTTTGACCAATTGAATGATTTGAGGGGATTACTCGGTTGCGGTACATTCTTTATAATCTCAACTTTCATCGGTGGCGGTGCTGCGGGCATTAAACACGGTGGAGGAGGCGGTGCAAGTGGTGGAGGTGGCGGTGGTGGTGGTGTTGGTTTCGCCTCAACTCTCTCAACGACTTCGTCGTCAACAATTTTTATTGTTGCCTTGGCATCATCTGGCAAGCTACCAGACGCTACCAATTGCTCCAGCCTCTTTCTCTCCAATTTCTCATTGTTTATTTGCCGTGAAAGTATCTCAATATTATCCTGAAGTTCGGAGATTCGTTGTTTCGTTTCAATGTGCATCGAAGTTTCTTTTTCGAGACGTTCTTTAATTCTAGCCAGACTCGCTTCAATGTCCTCCTTTTCCTGCGTCCTCAGATCCAATTCCTGCTCTTTCTTCGCCAATTTCGTTGACATATCGGTATTCTCCCGTTCTAGTTCGTCAGCTCTTTTTCTAGCCGCCACGAGTTCTTCTTCTTTAGCCAGTAAATGGACTAGTTCTTTAACATTAATATCAATGGGAGCAACGTCCGGATTTTTTGTTGCACCTGGCTCATTACTTTCGGATTGTAATATAATTTGCTGAATGATACGATCAAAGAGCAGCCAGTGCTGTGGATGAGAACCATAATCGAGCGGGAGTAACAGACAGTGTTCAAGTAAACTGAGAAAATGCGTATAAGCTGCTGTATGGCTGAGCTTTCTCCTTAACAAATCGAACATTGCCGTTGCGCTCTTTGTATCAACGTGCTCCTTCTCGAACTTTCTTGCCAATTCCTTTTCATCCTCATTCCTCACCATTTCAAAGAAATCCAAATGTCTATCCAGTGTCTCGTTCTCGTATTTTCGAAGTTTTTCAATAATCGGTTGAATACCGAGCATCAATAGTTCATATCTAAGATGAAGTCGAAATTCTAATGTCACCTGTCCTGGCCCGTAATTTAGAACTGCATTTATAAATGACATGATGGCAGTTTTCAAGGACAAATTGTCCTTGTAAATTCCAAAATTCTTGTCTAAATCATTAATTATGCTTTGAAATCGTGCTCTCTCTGAGTGATACTGTTGAAAATGTAACATTGCTTCTAGAACTTTACGATGACCACCAGGCACTAGGCAGACAGCGCCTAATATTTCCAATACGGATATTTTCGCCTTGATATTTTCAGTCGCCAGCGACTGAGAAATAGTATTTATCGCTGTTAGATGAGCCAGTACATGTGCTCGTCCATTCTGAAATTACCAAATTGTCAAATAATTTTAAATACTTGAAATAAATGAAAAAATCATCGTTTCAGTACAGAAAGCTTTCAATTACCGAATTATTCATCAGAGCCTTCAGACATCCAATGACACTCGTGTGCAGATTATTGTGGGTAGCTTCAACATCAATAGTCCCTAAGACCTGAAGAAGTGCATTCAAACCGTCCAATTCAATGAATCTCAGGACAAAACTATGGGGCTGCGTCCTGAGAGCCGTTTTCAGAGCTTCCACTTGCCGCATTTGGTTTGCTAGTTCTTCGGTGTCCTCCGAGAAAGGTGTCTGCAAAAAATAACAGCAAAGAGGGTTCAATGATAATCTCAATGTAATAAATCAGGACAGATAAAAATTTTATCATAAAACAAAGTCACAAGATAACTTACACTTGCTATCACTCGTACTCTGTTAATATAATCCTCAGGATCGCCACTGAGATCTGTAGTTCGCAGCCCTCCATTATCCAAACTGTCATTTCCTTTTCTCGAGCAATAAATCTGCCATTTCTTATTAGCTGGAAGTGCTAAAACTGCTTGGCGATTTGCCTGCGTAAGGTCGAGCTCATCAACGAGTTCCAAAAACATTTTATTCAATTCTTCTTCAGCTGGCATTGGTAGAGTTGGTGTCATCGCCTGAAGCGTGAGCGTACCCGTTTGTTCCACCACACAGTAGGTAATCTCCGGCGGTTCGTCATCCTTTTTTAAAAAAAAAGTGAAGGAAAAAAAATGATCAATTAATTTTCTCAAAACCGGTTCCAACCACCTATAGGAAAATATAATGAGAAATTGACAATTAATCATTTTGATATGTTACTGGATGGGGCCGATATGCTGTGCGCAGTGAATTGCAGAGCAATAAAGGGATTGTCATCGGGAGAATTTTGTGGGGAAGATGATTCAACATCATGCCAGTTTGCTTCTCGCAATTGCCGGCATCACCAAAGGTCAGGGGACCGGCTCTCCTCTCTGGGCCGCTGACATTCCTCAAGTACTTTCACACGTGACTAGGAAATTGCCCTTTCAGAAGATTGGTACATATATTGTTCAACGAACGGTTGCATGCTAACACTAGTCCCATGCAAATCTTTACGCTCAATCTTTCACATTTGTCCGTACCAATCCAACATCTCCACATTCAGATTTAACTTTACCATTTTTAGGCACTCACTGTCGCCTAAAATATCACCCATTTACCGTTTTTACCTGCTGTTTGTTAGCATGATCCTTATTCAGGGGAGTGCGGGATAATATGAGCATTTTTTTTATTTAAAATGGTGTAATAGCAATTAACGCAGTCGAATGTCTTTCTCGAATCACAGAATGACTGTGTAAAATAATAAGTGCCTTGTTGAAAATCATTTAATTATTATCAGATTTAATGTCAAACTGAACCTCTTGAAAAAATGAAATTTTAATTATTTAATGACGTAATAAATTTAGGATAAAAAAGCGTCACTGAAACACAGCCAATGAGAATTTCGAGCCCATTCGATTATCTACATTATTATTAACGATATTTAATTAAAATTGAATATTATATTAAAATAAAAAATGGAACAATTTTAAATGGGAGTCCTTTCTATTCTAACATTCCATATAATTTTATTCTTTAAATAAACACTTCAATGAGATTCATTAATCAATATGAATTAAAATAGAATTTATCATGGCCCCTGGTGAGATATTAATATGTCTTCAAAAATCGATTTTTCATCGATACCTCGAATAGTTGCTATTGAAAGGGAATTAATCATGGTCGAAAAATCTGGTATCGATTATCTCTACATATCATCAGATTATCATGCAGACCCCCTTACCCGTTCTCCAATTACGAGCTATTGTTTTTGAAAATTTTTTTTTCACTTTTTAGTCATTTATTTGCATGATGACGTTGAGTGATTGCTATATGGAAAAAAGTGGAGTAAACGCTCATAATTAGTTGTTATCACGTATCTATTCAACCTCGTAAAATTCCCCATTCAATTTAGATTAAGTCGTTTTAATTTAGATCGTATCCACTAATTACAAAATGTTCAAATGAATATAATAATAAGAAAGACAAAAATAATTATCCAATTTATTTTCAACGACTGCTCTCAAATAAAATATATGCAATTACCCATTTGTTTCGTTTACTAATTCTAACAGTATCCAACATTTTTCGTCGGTTCAACGAGATTATAAAAAAATCGAATGATAATAAAAATGCAAATTTATAAGAAGATTCTCTCGGAGATTTCTGGGCCTAATCTTCTCTTGGCTTTTACCGTACCGGGTGATCATAAAAACACTAAAATATTTAGCTGTGGGGTTGTTATGTATTTGAAATGACCTCAAAAGAAATGATAATATAAATTGAGTCCGACCACTGACATGGAAGAGAGACGATGAGAGAGATAATGGGAATGTCTTTAACTCTCAAGGAGCCAAGGTCAACTGGATGCAGGTGAGGATGTTTTTCTTACACTAACAAGTATCTTTCTTCTTTATCGTATAAGTCCGCAGGGTAGCTCTAGAACGTGTCAAAGACCTGTGGATATAATTCCAGCTAAATCATTTATCATTTCTACGAAATGTCTCCCTTATTCCCTCTTTCGTATTTCCACGCCTCACCGAACAGAGGAGTGTAATCAAAATTAGGTGGAATTTCGTTTTTTTAAAAAAAAGCTTCCTTCAAATTGAATTAAGTCTGACATCAGCTGTGATTTTTCCCTTTTGTTTCTTAGTCATTTCAGGACATTTCATTGTGACGTATTTTTTATCGAAACTCTAATTGCAATTTTTTCAGGAAACAGTACGAGAGAGAATAAAGTTGCCGGTATTCTGAGAAGTTCTTTTACGCTATGTCGTGTGGTAATTGTGAGGGTTCATCTACACCGTTAGGATCTGCATGGAGAGCAGCAACAGTTACATTTTACAGTGTCATCATTTTTTCTCTGCAAAAGTTAATTTTCAAATAACAATCTGTGAAACTTCGAGACTAAAACGGGAAGCGGCGATTTTTTAATTAAATAACATTCCACTTGTTCATTACGTTTCGAAACGCCATTTTTATGGTGCATATTTTTAATTTCACTAACATCCCATTGTGTAATTCACATGAAAAACTGAAACGCATGGATGATTCAAACACTTGAAATTTTAATTATATGAAGAACACACAATTCTGATGTTTACAATTTGGATTTTTGTTCTTTAACAATCTGAAAACAATCCAATGAGACTAATTAACGTTTTTCAATTTTAAGTAAAAAATGGCTGAAATCAGATTTATCGAAATAGATCCTAATGATGAGAGGATTTATTTGTTTAAACAAATGAATTCTCATTTTTTCTTAGAACGAACAGTTTAGAAATTATTCGTCTTTGCGTACCCGATTTTTTGTCGGAATCTACAATCATTCTTGGGAACAACAAAATATATGGAGAAAAATATTCAATAAACATTATAGAACTTATACTATATTATTCCCTCACCAATTAGGAAGATGATTAAAAGAATCCACAGTTTTCCATTTTTTTACAGAAAAATCAGATAAAAATGATTGAAAGCTCCAGAAGAATAATCAGAAATAGTTTCAAAAAATGCCGGAAAAATGTTATCAAAAAAAGATTCTTGATCATTAAAAACATTCGGGATATTAGCACTAGGAATTATCCATTTTAATCATTATCGACCCCTAGATAACGTTTACTATTTCGTTAACGTTTCGTTTCACTGAACACGGGGGTCACCAGAACCAACATCTAAATACGAACTAGTTAGCAGGAGAAAAGGAATTCCGACCACACGACGAGGAATTCATTAAAAAATTACCTTAACAAGAAGTAATAGCGTAACATAGTGGCAATTTAGGAGATTTTACCATAAACGCCATAAGTAAAATAATCTGCAATGAATTTGAATTTTTACATAGATTTTCTGGTGAAATTTCGTGGATTGTCATTGATTACTATTTAATTACTAGCTGTACTAGGTGTTAGCGTAAGTTATATAAAATAAATTCCTCTGGACACGTCACACCCCGCCAGGCAAATTAGTCCCTCAGAATTTCTACAAAATATGTAGTACAAGTTTATTTGCCAATGTAATTCTCACTTATATCTGAAAGTCTCGCTCCTAGAATTGACGAATATTTGTTCACGAGATGACCTGTATCTTAATTGAGGCCAACCGTTTGGTAATTCATAACAGAACACTTGGATTCTCACATCGCGGAAGTGGCCATTCGATTATTATCTCCTTCAGAAATTACGGAGTCATCGCATGACTATTCAAAAAGAACAATAAAAGATATACGCGTAGTACTAAATCATTTACGAACAGATATTTCTACGGAGGGCAAATTTCCAGGCATGGTATTTTCCTTTGGTAATACCCATGGGGTATACCGATTTCGCTATATACAGATCGTTACAGGTCTACATTATTGGAATGCCAAAGAACTTGTTGGACATGAATCGTTTTCTTGATTTTATCAGTAAGTGCGAAGGTTAGCATTGATTTTCCTCATTTCTCAATTGGAAAACATCCTCAATCTTTGAATTTATATATTCATACAACCAACAAAAAATTCTCCATGAATTAAATTGATTAATCAATATAATAACAAATATAATAGTACGTTTTCATGCCAAAAATCCCTTTCGCTCAAATAATACATTTAATTTTGTTTAATTTTCGAATGGTGTCTGCTTTTTTCCTCGGGGTAATTTATTCCATATGTTCCATATAAAAAGGAAAGCATACGAAATTAATAAATTACATTGCACCCTAAATACCCCAGCGGCTAATAGCAATTATATGGATTTAAAAAAGTCCGGATATATTTTTTTGCACGGGTTAAATGGAATAAATCGCCCTGAAGGAAAATGCATAAAACATTTGAAACGTAGGGAAAATGGAATAGATTTTTTTAAAATCACAGTTTCTTCCATCTTTATTTGCTTTATGGTGATTGTAAAATATCTAGACGAACATTTCGAAAACGTGAAAGGAGAGATTGAGACAGTAATTAAATAATACTCATGGTTCAAAGCGGAAAAAAATTAATTCCGAGCATCGGGTTTACTTTTGCAGTGAACTTTTGTTTAAAGGTTTATCTCTCATCGGATTCTTTTTCTGCTACGAATAGGTCTCTGGGATTAACATTTTTTTAATTTACATTTTGTATTTAAGAAAATCCAATTAATTACTCATTATATAAAAAACTATCCATAATTTCCGGTAGAATTATTTAATTCGTTTAATTTTCTTTTAAATTCCACGGCAATGAGTGGAGAAGAAGATTATGATAATGAACTTGATTTTAGAAATACTATTTCTCTCTCGCTCTCTCGGCCCTTCTCAGTCAAATAACAAATAGAATTGGAAAAAACCGCGTTAAGAAATTTTATGTTTCGTCGGTCGAGGAAAATTTATTGACAAGAAGAAAGCAAATTTTCATATTGAAATATATATAATGTGAAATTCGAAAACCATTAAATCGATTCAATGAGAATTGATTTCATTAATTGCTTTTCCCGACTGTTTCTCACGATTTCGTCGGAAAATTGGTACTACATACTTTCCACCCTCGACAGCTTGAAAATTACTACCGAAAAATATTAGCTGGGCTGTTGGAATGCGTTTTTTTTACTCGAGTGGTTGGCCAATTCGCGCCTTCGATTCGAATGCCAACCCCACACAAGTAAAAAAACCCCATCCCAACAATTCGGGAATATACCATTTCGTAATAAACAAATTATTCTTATCTTCTCTGGAACAAATACAGAAATTCTTGATGAAATTTTACCCTTTCTCAGTATTCAATATTTTCTTACTGTCAAGGTTCCGCTGATAAGTTTCTGAATTCAACTTAAAAAAACGATTTGTGAAGACGAAAAACGTTCTTTCACTTCATGTTGTAAATAAAAAAAAAGAAAATGAATATATCTTGAACGTTAATTTTGTTCCTCAGTAATCGAATTTTCTTTATACTACAAAGGCAACTCGTTAGTGCAGTTTAAATCATTTCCTGGTATGCATAAACAAATAAGACAGTAGCTTTGATGATTCGTAAGATTCCTTTTACTCTCAATAAGCAGAAAATAACGAACCAATTTCATGGCGTGTGAAGAGCGAATAATAATTCTCTTATTGTTGAATGTAGAATGAAAATGAAATTACTATACGCATCATACACGCGATGTAAAGTTACTCTTATTTTCTAAAACCAACTGTCTCATTTCTCGATTCTTTTAAAATTTACCTGGAGACAACCGCAAAACGATTTCTTCACTCTCGACGGCATTGTCTGGCAGTGTACGACAAAATCTTTCACAGGTTGAGGAGTTTTCCGAGGACAGCTCGGCAATCTCTAAAAAATAAAACAAAAAGAGATAATTAATACCTGCAGATACAACTCCGTCAGTTCCGTATTGTTTATTTAATAAACGAAAGCGGAAGAGAATACCATTTTCAATCGAGCGAACAATTCCATTGCTGATGTAACAATGTGATGATTCTACGCGTAACTAAAACGAGAATTGTCGTCACTTCAGAGATCATTCCATGAAGTCATTCAAATATTCCACTTTTTTATCCATTTCTGCTCAAGCGAGATAATAACAACTGCACAGAGTGAACACAAGCAGCGTAACATCACAAAAAATCTTGAATATCTCTGTTATCTCCCGTGACATTATTCTTACAGATGTGTTTTCATCATATGCAAAATTATTCAACAAACGTATCTCGTATTGCCACATGTTATCATATTTAATATCTTATCTAAGTTCTACAGTTAGATTGTGTAAATAGAGAAGAACTAGATTAAACGATACGAAGAATTTTGGTTTTCCACTAAATTTCAAGGAGAATAATTGTACAACTACACGATCTTGATGGCCCAGTCTTCGATGTACTCACATGCCAGACACGTTGATCATGTATGTCAAGCGGAAATTCCCATATACACCTAGGGTATGAGGTCGAGACGGTAATAAATATGTGTGACTGGAAAAATTTATATATAAGGGACACCGGGGCATAATAACGTATGTAGAAGAAATTGAACGCAGAGAGAAAAAAAAATAGTTTTCTCAAGAATTCATTTACTTGAGGAAAGTCTATTTTTTCATAAAAGTTGTATTTCTGCACTGAATCAGCTTTAGGTGATCTCGACTAGATGTTAATAATGTTGGAAATATTTTCGATGTTAACACGAACAAGCGATTCGTTGTAACAGGTCGTAGGAAATAATGAAAATACTTAGGCTATTTATGACCGAAACAGCCCAGCACGTGGACCCACCCCATAGACAAAGGGCCTTGTCTTTGGGGCAGACCTCAAACCCTGGACGAAATCGTGAGTAGAGACATTCTTTAACGAACTCTTGAGCAAGCGACATTGGACATTAACAACCCAGCTTCCATTATATCGAATCTTTAACTAAACTTTAACTGTTAAAAATAAATGAAAGGTCGAGTCATCCAATAAAATTGTTGACGATATTATTCCTCCTACAATAATGATAATTTATACCAATTTTTTTATACCAATGAGGAATTAATCTGTATTAATTATAATACATTATAATAAATAGATTACATATGTAATCGTAACCAAATAGATTCTCGGTTATGTATAGGAGTCAGTGCAATTAAATCTGGGAAGCTGAATCTATGTAATTTGAGCAACTTCAAGTCATGAATATATTTATCATGAATATATTCATGTTAAATATATTTGATATCGAGCTAGATAGATAATAGATTTAATTGTTCAGTTGTGTGAACAAAATATTTACAAATGCACGAACAAAGTGAATAGACAAAGATAAAACAGAAATGAAAGCGAAAAGAAAAGCTTCAGGATGAAGAGTGCTCTGAGAAAGATGCAGCTGATGATGGAAATGATAGCTACAGTAGATCATCCAATTACCGATAATTCAAAATTATTTACATGAATTTTACATTTTCGATGTGATTATACCCCGGTTTGTTTTAGTTATAGTAGCTTTCCGCAGTCTCAAGTATTAATTAAAAATTGACACCGAACGTACCTGAATAAATTTCAACAGCAGATGCTAACCGATATTCATTAATTTTTAAAAAATCTCTACTTTCTCATAGTAAAATATATATAGCCGCTTCAACCAAATGAGAGAGATTTTTATTACAAATGGAAAACTGTCATTGGACTTCCGACTACTGGGATAGTAAATGGATAACGTGTGGCAATCACGCAAACGCATCTGAGTCTGTTACATGCTGTGCCTCACTCAAATAGGCACGTGTTATACATCGGCCCATTACTTTTTTGCCAAAGTATTCTCACCGGAAATAATAATCGCCTGTTTCAAATGCGTGGAGAAGTGGTCAAGTGGAAGATTCTCCTTTCATTTACACCGCGTGAACAGAGCCAATTTGCCGATGTAACTAAATAGGAAAAAAACTAATCTCTTTCCCATCTTTAAATATAAATACAATAGAAAATATTGTTATCGCTTTATTTTTTCTGTAGAGTGAAATTTGGATGTAGAAGGAACAGTTTTCCTGTTCCCACGTTTTTATTAATATCCAATATAATTGAGTAGTAAGTTGTGAAAGGTAACAGCTCGTGTTGTTCTCTAGTTGAGTTTTTAACGAATATCTTGGAATCTATGAGAGACAGAGAAATTTTTTTTAAAACATTTTTGTAAAGTGCAATGTGAGCTATAAAGAAGGTAATACTAAAAAATTTATTATCTGTCTTAGATTGAGATATATTCCTCAAAAACTGACCTAGTGCATAGATCGACTTATAATTTTTTTTGGCATTCACGACAGAATTTAAAAAAAATCTATTTCAGCCTTCATTCATTCACTCATTGACATATTATTCAATTTAGTAGCATCCATTCTTCTCTCTTAGAATTAACCAGGACTTATAAAATTCTGGCCGAATTTCTAGATTTTATGATAGTGATGTAGAATCCTTTGACTTTTTTATAAACGAAAAATATTTTGAATGCTTGCATGAATTCCCAGAGTTGAAAGAAAAACAATAATTATCAACATTACCCGTTGTAATAAAAAAATTAATTGTAACGTAGATGAAGTATCAGGAATATGGTAATTAAATAAATAACAATAACAATAAGCGATAATACAATCCCATAAATACGAATAAGATTAATGGAAGAATGAATGAAAACAAAAATGATGCGCAAACTTCAATGAAGAATTAATACAAGATAGAATGTGTCAGAAGGAGAAAAAGTTTTGAAAATTTATAACATTTATAACAATAGACTGATGAGAATTAGTGATAAAATAATAGAAAGACCAAACGTAACCAGTCGTCTGCTACTTCTTTCAACGGGAAAAAGCGATTGCACCGGAGTGTCTGAATAGAACTAATGCAAAATTCGCGTGACGAAATTTTCACTTGAGACAATTGACTTTCACCTTGACTGAATGACACTTCACACCTTGAAAGAAATTATTTTTCGTAATGTCCTCAACAAATCATAAAAAAACAGTAATGTGACGATATGATTCAGCTTTATGATGGCTCATCACGAAATAATACGAAAGTTTGATTCGCTCAGGAAACAGCTGTTACGTAGGGCTACTTATCCCCGCGATCTTGACATTCCTAACATACGCACTGAAGAAACTGATCGTAAAATTCGAATTCTGAAACGTCATTTACATAAGATAAATTACAGGATTAAAAATGTTAATTATACGAAGAGAAATGTTCAATAAAAATTACGTGTCTTTTCCGTAATTCCG